TACATTTAAGAAGATCTTAATTTGAAACATCATTATTTTCAAGTTCTTATTCATGTCAAACAAATTTTTTTTTAAAAGGAACAATGTTGAAAGTTTTGTCAGAAATCAAATTTTTATGATTGAATCAATGTTTATATTAAACTGAATGAAAATATATTAATATTGAATAACTACATCATCACACGCAATTAATGAGTATAAAAACAGTATTTTTGTCTATATATAAGAATTTTTTTTTACTCAGGTAATTTAATCAATGAATGATAGATTTCTCTTAGAAGAAATTTAAAGGTCCCAGAGAATAAACTACACAGAGAACAATAGCTATTGTATCTATTCAATAGGACAGGTGAACTTGCAAAAGTTTAAATACCTGGTCAAGATAGAGATGGCACTGTGGAAAACTTTCATTGGGTTCGCAATAAACAACCATAACATCTAACACCCCTGGCATCATGCAAGTAAAGGGGTTTAACAATACTTTTAGATATTTGGATGATATATTGGCTCTCAATAATGACGACTTCAGTATGTATACTAAAGAAATTTATCCTATTGAACTTACTTTAAATAAAGCTAATACTAACAATGACCACTGTCCTTTCCTCGATCTTGATATCTATATCATTAATGGGAAGCTTAATACAAAAATTTATGATAAAAGAGATGATTTTTCATTTCCTATCGTTAATTATCCATTTTTGTCGAGCCTTCGACTTTTGTCGAAAAAGCGAGACATAGCGATCCTACATTCCGTCGGCGTCGTCGTCGTCGTCGGCGGCGTCCACAAATATTCACTCTGTGGTTAAAGTTTTTGAAATTTTAATAACTTTCTTAAACTACCCTGGATTTCTACCAAACTTGGACAGAAGCTTGTTTATGATCATAAGATTATATTCAAAAGTAAATTTTGTAAAAAAAAAATTCTATTTTTTCCGTATTTTACTTATAAGTGGACTTAGTTTTTCTGCCAGGAAACATTACATTCACTCTGTGGTTAAAGTTTTTGAAATTTTAATAACTTTCTTAAACTATCCTGGATTTCTACCAAACTTGGACAGAAGCTTGTTTATGATCATAAGATTATATTCAAAAGTAAATTTTGTAAAAAAAAAAATCCATTTTTTCCGTATTTTACTTATAAGTGGACTTAGTTTTTCTGCCAGGAAACATTACATTCACTCTGTGGTTAAAGTTTTTGAAATTTTAATAACTTTCTTAAACTATCATGGATTTCTACCAAACTTGGAAAGAAGCTTGTTTATGATCATAAGATAGTATCCAAAGTAAATTTTGTAAAAAAAAAATTCCATTTTTTCCGTATTTTACTTATAAATAGACTTAGTTTTTCTGCCAGTTAACATTACATTCACTCTGTGGTTAAAGTTTTTAAAATTTTAACAACTTTCTTAAACTATCCTGGATTTGTACCACACTTGGACAGAAGCTTGTTTATGATCAAAAGCTAGTATCTAGAAGGAAATTTTGATAAAATTTTGTTCCATTTTTTCTGTATTTTACTTATTAATGGACTTAGTTTTTCTTCCAGTCAACATTACATACATTCTGCAGTTTAAGTTTTTAAAACATTTATTAGATTCATAAATTATCCTGGATTTTTACCAAACTTGGACAGAAGCTTCTTACAATCAAAAGATAGTATAGAGAGGAATATTTTTATTAATTTTTTTCCTCATTTTATTTGAGCCTGTGATTAACACCAAAAGTAGGCGAGACACTGGGTTCCGCGGAACCCTTACGAATTTTTAGTTCCCTTGTCACCATCTTATGGTGTTTATATATCTCAACTTGTACGATTCGCTCGTGTATGTAACAACGTATTAGATTTTAGCGAGAGAAATTTATGTATTACTGAAAAATTATTACACCAGGGTTTTCGATATCATAAACTAGTCAAAACATTTACTAAATTTTATCATCGGTACAAGGACATCATTCGTAAATATAACTCAACATGCAGACATCTTATACGTTCGGGTATTTCACATCCAATCTTTTATGGTAATATTCTTTACAAAGCACAAAAATGTCAGTATTCACCTCAAAAGCTAACAAAACCTTTAAACAGACTTATTAAGAAGGGATATAGTTACGATACTGTTGTCAGGTCATTAAAGATTGCATATTTTGGCTTTAATATTGATTCACTTATAGGGTCTTTGCATCGGAATTAAACACATTTATTCTAAAACCAGTTGTTGGCATGATACGGGTTATGTTCTTCTCATATATTTTATGACGGTATAATACTAAACCCCTAACAGGAGGGATTGTGCCTGATATTCATATGATGAAGACATAATCTTTCAATCAGTTTAATTGAGGTCTGGAGCTGGCATGTCAGTAACTGCTAGTAGTCTGTTGTTATTTATGTATTATTGTCATTTTGTTTATTTTCTTTTGTTTCCTATTCTGACATTGGACTCGGACTTCTCTTATACTGAGTTTTACTGTGCGTACTGTTGTGCGTTTGTTTTTACTACATTGGCTAGAGGTATAGGGGGAGGGTTGAGATCTCAAAAAACATGTTTAACCCCGCTGCATTTTTGCGCCTGTCCCAAGTCAGGAGCCTCTGGCCTTTGTTAGTCTTGTATCATTTTTTAATTTTAGTTTCCTGTGTATAATTTGGAGTTTAGTATGACGTCCATTATCACTGAACTAGTATACATATTTGTTTAGGGGCCAGCTGAAGGACGCCTCCGGGGGCGGGAGTTTCTCGCTGCATTGAAGACCCATTAGTGGCCTTCGGCTGTTGTCTGCTCTATGGTCGGGTCGTTGTCTCTTTGACACATTCCCCATTTCCATTCTCAATTATATTTCGTACAGCATCCACAGTTTCCTGGCTAGCAAGCCAGAAATTCTACTTCACAAATGAACCTACAATGGTTTAGGGGAACAAGGTCAGGTCGAACATATTCAAATTGTAATTTATCTTCATCAAATTTCTTGTCAGTTACTGGAGGACATTCAGTAAATTTAGATGCTGTTGATGTAACAAAATCAGAATATGGATGATCTTCTAAAATGTCTGAGAGCTTCCTTGTGTTATTTGCTTCCTCAACCTTATGTCTACTAGGAATAAATTTTGGTGTTTTTTGTACTGTTTTTTTAGTTGAAAATTGACCTTTATTATTCCTGATGGAAGGCATTTTCTATAAGGCAGACGTCGTATCAAAATATTACAATAAGAAATAAAACGTCATATCAAAATATTACAATAGTCGCATAAAACGTGCAATTATACCTTTTCTTCTTCTGTCATCAGTCAACAGTACGATTTGAAGATCTGTTCTAGATATGTGAATTGTGTGAAATTGCCTCATAGTATACCAAAGTGCTGCTCAAGTTCTATATTTTCATAGCAGCAAGTTAGTTTATGTAAAAGACGGTTCACCTTCATGAAATGTTAACTTCTTCCTGTCCTTTGCTTTGTCCAATTTGTGCCTTTCCGTGGATGCCAGAAGTGAACACTTTCATATGTTTAATTAACTAAAATATAAATATTTGATTTTTTTTTCAACAAAAAGAGAGACTTATCAATTGAAGCACAAAATCCAGAAATATACATTTTCTTTTTATCTTAGTACAAAACATTTAATTTACAGCAATAGATTGATTGTCGATATCAAATGCACAACTACTTGCGCAGAAGGCACGAAAAATTTAAACTCCCATACCACCTTAAACAACAATTTGGTGGTAAAAATGTATTGAAATATAACAATATGCATATATGCACAGCTTGAAAGTATCCAGAAACAAATAGTACCCATATTACAGGAAATCGACTCTTCCATTTAATATCGCTTTGACAATTGCTGCAGAAATTTTCCACTGACCAGAAAGACCATTCACAACCCTCCTTATAATGAAAATTTGTCGTGACATTGTCCTGAATGTGGAAGGTGATTTGTATTTATAGTTTATGATAACTTTGTCAAACCACCTTCGTAGAATTGTATGAAACTTTGACAGATGCTTTTTTATGATTAAAAAATAACATCTGAAGCAAACGTTTTATAAAATATATCAGAATCTGTATTTTACTAAAAGATTGACATAGTTCTTTTGCAGTTAACATTTACAACACTGGGAGTTAATTTTTCTAAACATCAATATCTTTTATAAACCTGCATGAAATGATAAAAAAAAACTTGGACTGAAGCTTCTTCATGATCAAGAAATAGCATCTGAAGAAAAAATTTGAAATTTGTTTAATTATTCCCTATTTATCTGATAAATGGACTTAGTTTTTAACAGTCAATATTATACGCCCCCAAGGGTGACTGGGGAATAGAAGTATGGTCACCATTGGTCTTCCTCCGACCGGCGGTAAAACCCTAGCTAAAGTGGGGCGTCCGTTTGGCTGTGCGGGATGTACAAATTTGCAGCCATGTCCGGTCAGAATGGGGACGTTAAATCCGATGTCTCGTGTAAAGAACGTGCCACGCTTTTTGCATGTTAAGAACCCTTGCAACAACTCTTTGAGGGGTCCGTAGGTGACCTGTTGCAAGGCTAAATTGCTGTCCCTATCCAATATACCCTCATTTCCCGTGGCAGTCTAAATTTCTCCGACCTTAATCCCTTAATCTTTTACAGAACCTACCTATTGTATTTATTGTGAACTTGTTCTCGTCCTGAATATGCATGAAAGATTTGCCACTGGACGTTAAGCAACCAACAATCAATCAATCAATCAATATTATACTGAATCAGCAGCAATTGCAAACTGGACAAATTGTTCCACAGAATTCATTTAAAACCGGTTCTAGAGGTAACTATTTATTTCTTGTAATGAATGGTTAGTTAATGTTACATCTTATTCTGCAGTATTATTGGAAGCATGTCTCCAGACAAGCCTTTCCAACTAGGTGCCTCTAGTATGAAGATGATCATCTCTATGAAAAATACAGATAAAAAAGCAACAAACTAAAAAATGGCAAATTTTAACTTTCATTTAATGATTTATATTTTGATAGGCATATCATAAGGCAAATGATGAACGAAAAACTTACAACCTAGAGATAAATACCACAAAACATCAACATGGTGAAATGTCATCTCGGCAAAGAGCAATGGGGAGCAGAGAACAATTGGACACTATATCAGGTTCTAGGACTCCAAGAGACTTGAGTCGGTATGTACATGATGGATTATGTCTCAAGAACTATTAATTGAAAGTTCTTTCTTAAATCTCATTTTTTGTTTACTAAAAGGAACTCTGAAATAAAGCATTTGTTTTTTTAATTTTTTTTTATGAAAAGCATGAAAGTCAGTTCCCCATGAAGAGTATAATTGACTTTCATAGACATTTAAGAATATTTTAGACTTTAATGCTGCTTTTTACATATTATTGGGTTGGTTAATTTCAATTGATTGACTGATTGTTGTTTGCTTTATGCCCAGTGTTCAAGGGTAGTAAACATCCAAACATTCTTTTATATTTTCTACATCTTATTAATCTTTTCATTTTGATACTTGTTTTCGCTGGGCCAAAAGTCACCGATTGCGAGACATTAATATGTTAATCTGGTGGCAGTGTAATAAGTAAGATGTTGTTTAAAGCTTAATATTTCAGATGGTTATATATAAAGACATAGGCATGATATATTTTGTATATATAGATGGCTTATGGTCTTGTGATAAAGTCTGACATTGCATTTGAAAGTGACCTAAGTGTCATTGGACAGTGACATAAGTCTAGATTTTAGTTTTAACACTTAATCAATTTCTTATTTACTATGAGTCGTAGGTTAACTGTATTTGGTATATAATAGTATTTTTATATGTTTATTTGAATCAGATAGGAGTTTTGACTTCTTTTCATGTTTTAGAAATCAATGTCCAGTTTTTGCACTGAGGTCAGTTTCTCATTTACTATAAGTAATGGGTTAACTACATTTGGTCTATAGAATCATCCTGTCTGAAGGAGGACACCTTACCTTGATCAATTTGATCAGATTTTGAAGGTCACTGATCAAGGTTTATGGCTTATGTCACTTTTTCATTAAATATGAGTAGGAGGTCATATATATTCAGTTAATAGTATCATTGTGTGGCATATTCGAAATAACCTCGTTTTCATTGTTTTATAAAAGATTAATGTTAAGTTTTCTTTTTGCCGACAGTTTCTCATGCACTTTTTATTAGTATATTAGTCAACTGTATTGGTTTAAAATAACAGTAAGGTGTACATGTCATCTTACCTTGACCTCATTTTCATGATTCAGTGATTAAGGTTCAGTTTTCTTGATATATGAAATAAGTCCTTTATCTCAAAACTGTCAACATATTTTTCAATTTCAATGACAAGACATGATAGTGTGCACTCTTCTTAGGGTGCAAAAAAGAAAAAAAGTAAACACATTTTATGAAATACAAATAAGATGTGGTATAGTTGCCAATGAGTTATCTATCAACCAGAGACAATAGGACATGGAAGGTCACTGTACAGCTTTCAACAATGAGTAAACCCCTATTAACAAGAACGCCAACAGCATGATTAATGGTAAACAATGAATGAAAAATGGCAGACAGCATCCAACAGCAATCACTGAATAAAAAGTTCCTGACTTCAGATATGCATATAAAGAATAAGGCTTGAATAAATATGTTTGTGAGTGCTCAACCTTTTCCCAAACCTGGGATAGTCAAATGCTACAGCTTTACATAAGAACAAATTGTTAAATCAGTTTGACCAAGTGCTTAACCCATCAGATCAGCAGAATTCACAAAAAAGTAACAAAAAGACAAAAGTCACAAACTACTGATCAAAAGAGTACTCGTTGTTACTGGAAGTTAGTTCACCAAAAGTCAATTACAAATAAATCATGTGTATAAACAGACTAAAAGGTTTTATTTGAAATTAGTCTGAAATAAACTATTCTGGATCTGCAAAGGATCATATAGCTCAGTTTGAATCCTTTGTGTTTTAGGCCCAAGGATAGTAAGCTCTGGTTTGCCTCAACATTGCATGATGATTCCAAGGCATACTGCATGTACTTTATTATCTCATATTACTGATGTTTGACATATCTTATCATCTAGATTTGATTTTAATTTTTTGAAAAAGTGATTTAAATGACTTTTTAGGGTCAATTTGACGTACATTAGCTATTTGTCATTTAGTAGTATTAATATTTTTTTACCATTTCATATCAAATATGTCCACGATGACACGGTGACATCACAAATTATATTTTTGCACATAACTGATCAATCTTTATTATCCTGTTCTTTTATCAATATATTTGTTGTACCAGCAATTATATCCCACCTTGAAGAGGGGTGTGTGAATAAATTGATGCATATGTATGCACATTAGTCTGTCAATCACAAGTTTGGTTTCTGGATTATAATTGAAGTACTCCTTAACCAAACAGTTTGAAATTTTAAACGAATTTCATGGACCTTAAAATATTGGTAAAGTTCAATTTTGATGATTTGATGTTTACCTTTAGATCTGTTTGGTTTCCAGGTGATAATTAAAATGTTGTATAACAAAATATTTTTAGATTTTCACACACAAAGTTATGACATACAGTTAAATTCAATTTGAATTATTTTGGTTTTGTCATTTTCTGTGATAAAGTTTTTTCTGGAAGTGGGGGTATCTGTGTAGCACTTTCAGAGATAAAATAATGACTCTTCTTATAACCATGTCCTTAGTCATTTGAATTTTCTTCACTTAAACTTGTACAGATATATTTTATAATATATTTTTTTACGATTTGAAGGCCTTCATATCAAACTAAATCATCTGGTACAAATAATTCAAGGTATGTTGTTCCTTACATGTGATAGTTCAGCTAATGTGTTATATAGCGTTTTAGCATAGGTGAGACTCATACAATAAAAAAAATAGTTCCAAATTATTACAAAGGAAATTAAACCTTTTCCCCAGAATCACTTGGTGTCTACCTTGCTATTTAAATTTTTGCAAAGGGAACTGTCCCATTGAATAGATACAACTGCTATTGTTCTCTGGGGAGTTATTTCAATGGGAACTTTAAAAACCACCTTGAAAAACCAATTATTCATTGATTAATTTGACTGTACAAAAAATATACCTTAAGTGATGAAAGTACATGTATGAATACTGAATAATGACACAGATTGTTAAAGGAAGAGAAAATAATTACAAATTTATGTCCATTATAACAAAATTTTAATTGTATTTGGTCAGTACAGAAAATTAAACTTAAAATATGAGAAGTTTAAATGGTGCATATTACATAGAAATTATATCAGTTAATTTGGTTTTATAGTGATAAAACTGAAGGGTGGTATAGCAATGCAGTCAAAATTTCCCTCATAATAATCTACTAACCCACTGAAAAACGAAATAATATAGTAGAAATAAATTAGTTGATAGTGAATGAATACAACATCACATGCAGTGTGTCATTATCCAGTTTTCAGTACATGGTTTTTCATCGTTTTGAGTTTATTTTTGTGTACAGCGTCAGCCAAATGCTTAGTATTTCAAGGAGAAATTTAAAGTTCCCATTGTATTTACTCCACAGTGAACAATAGCTATTGTATTTATTCAATGGGACAGTTCCTGTTGCAAAAAATTAAATAGCCAGGTAAACACAATTTGAATCTGGGGAAAGGTTTAATTTCCTTCCCAATAACAATTCATCTTAAGTACCTAACATCATTAAAATGCAGAAAAGTTCTTTTAATGACTACCAGTGTGGCTGAAGAATTTTATATTAACCCTTGTATATCTGGTTTTGGGAATGTTTGTGTATATAGGTCCATTCTTAGAAGCCAATGATAATTTATATTTAACAAGTATACTTCTTTTTGTCTAGCCTGAAACATTTACGTCGAGAAAGTGAGACATAGTGATCCTAGATTCTGTCGTCAGTAGCATTAACATTTACATTCAGTCTGTGGATAAAGTTTTTTTAAACATCAATTACTTTGTCAAACCTTTATGGATTTTTTATGAAATATGGACAGAAGCTTCTTTATGACAGTATTCTAAGCAAAAATTTTGTAAATATCTATTTTCATTTTCAATATTTTACTATTAAATGGACAAAGTTTTTTTTACAATTAACACTTAAACAGTCTAAGGTTAAAGTTTTTCAGTCGTCAGTAACTTGGTCAAACCTTCATGGAATTTTATGAAATTTGGATTGAAGCTTTTTTATGATTAAGAGATAATGTCTAAAGCAAAATTAAAAAGATATATTTCTTTAATTTTTTTAGTATTTTACTCACAGATGGACATAGTTTTTTGCAGTTAACATTTACAGCCAGTCTGGGATTACATTTTTTTTACATGATAAATTTGTAAACCGTCATGGCTGGTTAAGAAGCTTGCTAATCTTCAAGATCAAGAAATAGCATCTAAGATAAAGTTTGAATTTTTTTAAATTCTGTATTTTACTGATATATGAACTCACTTTTGTTTTACAGTCAACATTACACTTTTACACTGACAGCAGCAAGACACGGGGTTCCGTGGAACCTTTTACAAATTTTTGACTAAATTAACTGCAATGGCTTTAATAAATTATGAGGCAAGATTCATTTGTATAGAAAATATCATTATGATATTTAATTATACATTAATATTACCTTTTCCTTTGTAGTGAAATACTATGTTGTATTAATTTTTCACTGTGACCTAGATTTTAAATTTGAATGAATTTGGAATTTGGATTTGTCTAAATGATATTTCTATAGTACCATCATAGTTCATGATATTTTATTCACAACTCTCTACATTTTTGCTTTTTTAAGCAAACTCCTTAGAGTGTCTAAATGATCCATTGATCTCAGTGGCCGATCCACCAACTAAAATAGTTTAGCAGGTAAAAGTGGAAGGTAGTGTTAATCAGTCAGCCAATATTTACCATATTGTCACGCCCTGTCTACAATAGAAGAGGGCATTATGTTTTATGGTCTGTGTTTGTATGTCGGTTCATTTGTTTGTCCTTCAATCCTATAGTAGGTTAAAATTTTGGTTTAAGGTAGTCTACAATACTATGGATTCATTATTATTCGTGGGATACCAATTTTCGTGTTTTTCGTGGGTAAATGTAAACCACGAATTTAAATTTTCAACAATGTATAAATTTATAACAGGCTGGTATGCATACTTTGGCAAAACCACGAAATCAAATATCCTCGAAAATACAAATTTCCCTCAATCCACGAAAATTGGTACCCAAGAAAACAAATGAATCAACTGTAGTTGTGGTATCATCAACTTGAAACTTAGTACACATGTTCAGTATGATGTGAACTGTTTAAAGATATGCCATATAAGGTTTTTGATCCAAATTTCCTGGTTTATTGGTTCACTCAACTTCACTGTGACATTGTGAAATCAGAACCTCTCAAGTTCAAGTTTTTGTTTAAGGTAGTTTACAATTAAGTCATAATCGCATCCACGTGTAACTTAGTACACCTGTCATTACTATTTTCACCTTATTAAATCTAGGCCATCTAAGGATTCTCTAAGGGTTTTGACCCAGATTTACTGTTCACTGAACATGAAAACGTGATAGTGTGAAATCAGTATATTCATTATGATTTTAAAGTTTTTAAAAGATCAGGGTTTGGACCTAGATTTCTTGTTTCCTGTTTCCCATAGAATGTGATAGTGTTAGTGAGGCAATTAATGTCCTGAAACAGTTATTGATGTATATTTTTGTTTATAAGTAGTTCCAGATAAATTGTCAATTCTCTTCCATTTGACATAATTACAATTTTTAGACATCTATTTGCATGTTAAAAAAATTGGCTTAAAGCATTTAAAGGCTTTACTCAACTTTACTGTGACATTGACTGTGAAATCAGAACATTCTCAAGTTTAAGTTTTTGTTTAAGGTAGTTTACAATGAAGTCATGATCACATCTATGTCTAACTGTAGTCAAACTTCTAAACCAGTAACCCTAAATGAAAACATGATTCCCTGAACTTGTAGCAAATGTATGCCCGAGTGGAGCTACAATAAGGAATAATGTTATCTTTTCTTTATCAACTACTTTGAAATTTCTAAAAAAAATACCAAAACCTAAATACATATAATTGGTCGCACATACATAAAATAATGTTTAAGGGAGACCATGTCCTTCTTTTTCTCTTCCTTTCCTAGCAACCAAGCCAAGTATATTAAACGAAAAGAAACTGGTTTCCATCTGGCCTTTTTTGGTGAATACCAGTACCTGTTTTTGTCTCGCCTTGACAGAGTCAAAAAGCGAGACATAGGTATGCCGTTGTCGGCGGCAGCGGCGTCAACAATGTATTAGTTTGTGATTAGGTCTAGTTTATGGTGAACCACTAGTGGTTGGTCAATGATATTTGGTATGCAGTTGTATTAGCATTGGCACATCTCATTTCCATGGAGATTATTTGGCCTTGCCCCCTCAGTCATGGTCTATTGACTTTGAAACTTTTGCTTAGTTTACATGTATTAGTTTGTGATTAGGTCAGTTTATGGGGAACCACTAGTGCTAGGTCAATGATATTTGGTATGCAGTTGTATAAGCATTGACATATCTCATTTCCATGGAGATTATTTGGCTCTGCCCCCTCAGTCATGGTCAATTGACTTTGAAACTTTTGTTTAGTTTACATGTATTAGTTTGTGATTAGGTCAGGTCAAGGGGAACTATTAGTGGTAGGCCAATGTTAATTGGTATGCAGTTGTATAAGCATTGGCACATCTCATTTCCTTGGAAAATATTTGGCCTCGCCCCATCAGTCATGGTCAATTTACTTTGAAACCATTGCTTAGTTTACATGTTTAAGTTTGTGATTAGATCAGTTTAAGATGAACCGCTAATTTTAAGTCAAAATGATATTTGGTATGCAAATTTATTGGCATTTGCAAGTCTTGTTTCCATGGAATTATATAACCCTCATCATGGTTCATTGACCTTGAAACTTTTACATAGTTTACAAGTTAATGTTTGTGTTTAGGTTTTTTTAAAGGGAACGACTTATGATAAGTCAATGGTATTTGGTATGCAGTTGTATTAGCATTGGCACATCTCATTTCCATGGAGATTATTTAGCCATGTACCGTCAGTCATGGTTCATCGACTTTGAATATTTGCATAACTTACATGTTAAAGTATTGCTCTTTTAGTTTCAACATTATATAATGCATTATCAAAATTACAAAAAGGCGAGACATATCTCTGTGATTACAGTTTATTATCATGTCAAAATAAATATTCCAAAAATATGTGTCACTGGATGTTAAATTGTTTAATTTCCTTTGCTTTTCAAACGCCTTTCTCCGTGAATTGAGTATGTTTAAAATATTTGTCCCTGGACCTTAGGCAATCAACAAAAACCATCAAATAATTGATCTTTTTCCTTATGTTGTAAAAGGAAGAATAGCTTCACAATTGGTTTAAAAAATGTTTTCTTCTAATCACAATGTTTAACTCTTCGTCATTTTGGATTTGAAAGCAGACAACATGGTATACATCAAACAAGATTTGGATTTATTCCATCAAGAATTTGGGGTGGGGGGGAGGGGACTCTATTCAATAACACATCAATCGCTCTCTGGTCTGTAAACCTTAATGAAAATCTCTTGGCAACATCTCATTTACATGTACATGTATCATATAAAAATAAATACTACAAAAAATTGATTCATGGGTTCATTTTTTGAAATAAGAGATGTTTTTTCATAGTAATCGGCCACTATTTGATTGGTATATTTAATTCATGACATTTGTCAGCATTTAACCCTTTGTTATGGGTGAGGGTCTATTAATATTACAAATCATATATATACATGCCTTAAAGGAGCATTAGCTACGAGATATAAAAAGAAATTAAAATATGATTTTTTTTTTGTTCAATCATTAATTAATTAATAATTCCATTTTGTCAAAATAAGGTAAGAAACATCGCTGATGAATTATTCACTTGCAAGTGAATAATTTGACCTCATTGAATCCATATTCATGTGACCTTCAATTTAACCCCTTAGCAAGAGATGGGTTATGCATGAATTAGGCGTGTTCAGTTATTAAAAGGAAAAGAATGGCAACATTGAAAGTGAAACAAGGCTAAACCATTTGATTGACTGATTTGATCCACAAAAACTCGTTCTTATTCAGGTCAACACGATGATTAACATATATTTTTAACCTATAATATGAAATGAAACAGACCTATAGAAATCCAATTGCATGAGTTGCTCTATATTTATGTTTATATCGGGTTTTATGACTGTCATCAGTCTTCGGAGGTCACCTCGATGGTTAATTAGATGGCGTCTAGACTAAATTACACACGAAATGCTGATACATATTATCGAGCCCATGCATTGTAAATTGTTTATTTTAGACTTTTTATAATTTGGATATACGTTTTAGTATGTTATAAATCAAATATGAGAATTTGAGTCAAATCGGTGAACATGAATTTGACAGTTACTGCCCCTTATAGTAATGTGTTTGGTTCATTGAATGATTGTAAAATGTACATATCTATCCATCAGAGATATCTGACCTTGACCTCATCCATAGATAATTTATAAAGTTACCTTAAGTTTTTTTGACACCTGAGTTAGTCTTTTAATATAGAATTCAGTCATGATCAGTAAAGCAAGGGAGACACTTTAGTTTTTGCACTCTTGTTTAGATAAACACTTATATTATCAATATCTTTCATTAAAGCAGCAAAAACATTAATGAATTATGTAACTATGTTACTATTATAATCCATGACTATTAATGTACTGATAATTATCTGCCTATTTACTTTTCAATGAGTATAACAATGATTTTGATTAGTCAGTTTTAATAATCATTCAAAGCTATAAAGTATGTCACTTCCATATAAATTGATATTGTCCCATATAAATTTACCTAGTAACCTATTTTCATAATAGTAAGTACATGACTTTAAAAAGGGCCATCTGATATATTTTAAAGGGGACCATATGGTTCAAAAGGTCCATACTTAAACAAAGGACCAATACTAACCTTAAAACGAAGGTAGGTTGTAGTTCTGGTGAATGGACATCACATGTGCATGCACAAATTATGACACATTAGTCATTGCTCTTTCTGCCATTGATGGTTCCCTACAATTCATGTTAATGCTCATGTAGATTTAAGATTATCTGAAATGAAGCCACTGTATTTGATAACTTTTGACCATGCTTTCCCAAAAAGTATATCCATGCTGTTGAAAAAACAACCTTTTGTTTTGGACCTCTATCATGTTTAACTGGATATCAGGGATTTACATCTTTTGTTTCTATTTATTTGTTGATGAAAGAATTTAAATTAGAGTAGTTTTCATCAGATCATCACTTTAGAGAACTTCTAAGTAATATTTCATAAAAAATTATGCAGAATTGAAATTTCTGTTGATCCACCTCACAGGAGGCATTCAAGTGAACTATTGGTGTAAATGAAAGAAATTAGTATTTGTTTTCTCTATTCATTTGCTTGTAAGGACAGATAATTGACATGTATTTTACAATAGATTCTGTGTGATATAATGACAGTTTTCTCCCCAGGAATTTACAGGGTATTTTTGTTCAAATTTATATCTCACCTGTTAAGGGTTCATATGCAAAATATGATCCATAACTAGATTTTACATGATTTTTTAATGATATGTGTACATAAGTGAAAATGAATTTTCTTGCTGTTTTCTGTCCGCAAAAAACACCCCCCCCCCCCATGAAAACTCAAATGGTTGTTCCCTTAAATTGGTGAAAAGGGAATATGGCCCTGATGTTATAATGCAAGTAAACATTTAAATAGGGTATGAAAGCAAAAAAGCAACCTGCAGGGCAGATCCAGGTGTCATAGGAAAGTAATGGTGCAAAATGGTAAAAATAAAAATAACAATTTTTATGCAAAAAAAATCATATTTTTTTCCCTCTATGCCCCTTCTGAATCTTCCATGGGCCTGTAAATTCAATACAACTGGAAAAGAACAGGTCAAAAGTGTTAATCATAGGTATAGGATTTGAAAATGATTTAATTATCTTTTGGATATAAGCGAAAATATGGATTTTTACACCATGGGTGATTTTAAGCATTAGGGGGCCTACTGCATGTCTCAAGTGTATTTATCTAAAATATTATGATTATGAATGAGTATATCTGTGCTTAAATGTCCTTGTAACTCATTTGATTGACTGTTATACATTTCATCAGTGGCAGATCCGCTGGGTGTTACGGGGTTGGAACCCCCGTTTTTTTTGAACGATCAATGCTTTTGAATGGGGAAATATGGTTGGAACCCCCCCTTTATCCTGAGTTGGAACCCCCGCTTTTAAAAATGGCTGGATCCACCCCTGTTTCATATAATAAAGATTTCAAGAGTCAGGACAACGTCTTGATAGTTTGCAGGTCCAAAGATGAAAGAGTTCAGGCAAACTAAAGGTTTAGTTGTTTCCTAGCACAGCATATAAAGGTCATATGTCAGTTCTAATATAGAAAATTATGTCAGATCAAACATGGTTATGAAAAAAGTTAAAATTGAATGGACTTTAAAAAGATAAAGGTAACTGGCCCCTAGGTCTTGCACACCCCTGAAGTTGGAATTTTTTCAAATCATTTTTCCATCATAATATATATGCAATATTGTGGTATTGGCACATAGTATTTAAAAGCATTCTAAATTTGCGTTTTAGTTCTTTATCAACCAGATTAGAGGTAATTCCTTTTAATGACCCAGCCGTCACCAGAGGGGGGCATTAAGTGTTACCCTTGTCCGTCTGTGAGTACGTCCCAAAATTGGTTTCCATTCTCTAACTTTAGTTTACCTCAACCAAATGTTAATATTCCCCTTAAATGGAAAAATTGCTGAATTTTTCGTTTCCATTCTCTTAAGTGTGCCTCAACCAAATGTTATGAAACTTATACACAAAGCTTATTACCTCAAAACTCAGATCAAGTACGAATTTGTGCAGCATCACTTTTACTGTTCTTGAGTTTTGTCCCTTATTACGTTTTATGCAAGCGGGGGCATCATCTGTGTCCAATGGACACATTCCCCATTCAGTTGATGAGGTTTTCAGTTCTTTGATATGGTTTTGTTTCATAAGCTTGTATTACAGGCTATCAGGATTTTCTTGCTAGAGTGTTGATACTTACAAGAAAACTAATGAATGAAGGATATTTTAACAGATAAATTGAAGTCATATATTTCGAGGAGGCCATCATGACTTGGTTGACGGTTATATCTGTGACACAGATAAGCTGAAATCTGAAATATTGTCATTTGTTTCCTTATATCAACAATTATTATTCTATCTTCCTTATATCAACAATTTTATCTTCCTTGTATCCACAATTGTATCTTCATTATATACACAATCATCTTCCTTATATACACCATCCAAGGTTCCTTATATGCATAATCCTATCTTCCATATGTCCACCAGCATATATTCCTTTTATCCATAATCCTATCTTCTTTATATCCACAATCTTATCTTCCTTATATCTACCATCCTATCTTCCATATATCCACCATCATATTTTCCTTTTATCCACAGTCCTATCTTCCTTATATATCCACAATCCTATCTTCCATACATTCACCATCCTTTCTTCCTTATATCCACCATCCTATCTTCCTTATATCCACAATCCTATCTTCCATATATCCACAATCCTATCTTGTTAAACATGTTTGTAAGCATTGAATCCTCCTCCTTACCTGGAACTGTATTGTAACAGCACAACATAAGAAAAAACTGTAAAAATCAGTTAAAAATGGCTTGACTCATCATATTTAAACAGAAGCACAAAAAACAACTGACATATGGTCATATATTTCTTTTGACTAAAATGCTGTCGATCCTTCAACTTGTGATTTTTAATTTCTTCGTTGTCATCTTTTTAAATTTCCCCTCATTTGCTTATTGCAGATATGACTTAATGCCTTAATAAGTGAAAGCACCTCATTTGGGTTTCCAAAATATAGGACATTTGCAATAAGTTAAGTTTGCGGGCTGTTTGCATGGAAAACTACAATAGTCTACTGTAAAATAATAAACACTATAAAAATTAGTCTCTAATGTATATAAAGGTGGTACTTAAAATCGTATAACCTCACATATTTAGGAACAGCAGAAAAAGTGGAAGTCATGGTAGCTTAAGGTAAATATACTCAGCCTTTTGCTTCAAGCATTCACGCTGAATACACGTATTTGTGTAACTATATCATTTTATCAACACCTCATTTATCAAACACAGTATTTTACTTTATGCAGATATGTACACAGTACTGTTGTATTTTATGTGTTTCCTCATAAACTTTCAAAATATCTGTTATATCTGTTGCAGCATTGCATGTGTATGTTGAATAGTGTTTTTTACTGTTAAAAACAAAAAAATAGAGATTGTATAATGATTACTAATACTAAAAATGAAATAAAAAAATCAATTAAGGATGTTTGCTACTCTGTTTCAAAATAAAAAGCTTTTAAAAAGACTGTTATAAATTGATAGTATACAAATAATGGAACTAGAAATGCAGAAAAAAAATTAAAGGTCTGTGTGCTTGTTTTTGTGATATCAGCCATTAAAAATTTGGCGGGAAATGATTCTCTCTAGATTTTTCATACAATTAACATTGGCACCTTTTTTCTTTCAAAAACTATGAAAAATTTTATAAGATTTTCAAATATGGCTTTTTAAACTATATGTAATAAAATTATGAAAAGAAAAGTTAGCCAGTGGGCAAAATTTTTAATGGCACATGGATAAAACCAGAGCATTCCGAATATCTGACAAAAATTCAAAAACAAGAGGAGCAAACTTCCTTAAAAAGTACATTTTATAATGAAAAACAGCTGAGAAATCTTAGAGGGAATAGTACATTTGTGATCCCTTTTAAAATTATGAATGATGACCCCAACCACTTTCAAACTTGACCAAGGCTTTTACTTGAAATAATTATAAAGAATTATAAAAGATAGATACTAGTATAAGATAAAAGCTTTAAAAAACAAAAATGATCAGCAAGAGGAGATCTACAAATAAGTCATCATGGCCGAAATCTTGTTTAAATTTTTTACCTTATATTTTGAAAACTATAATAGATAGCCAGTAGATATTAACTTTAAATAGCAAAAAAGATCCAGAAGGCAAGATCTACAAATAGGTCATCATGGCAGAAATCATCAGTCGACTCCTTATTGGAGTTATTGCTCTTGATGATTTTTAGTCCCCTACGGACGAAGTCGAAGGGGACTTTAGGTTTGCACTCCGTCCGTCTGTCCGTCTGTCCATCTGTCAGTCCGGCAAATCAGTTTTCCACACTTTTTTTCTTCATGCTTGAAGATATTGATTTGATATTTGGTGTATTGTTTTATCATGACAAGTTACAGATCAAGTTAGAATTTTGTTCCGGTCTGATGATTTTGTGCAGAGTTATGGTCCTTTGACTTAGAAAATTCACTAAAATAATCAGTTTTCCACACTTTTTTTTTGTCATTCTTGAAGATATTGATTTGATAATTGGTATATAGTTTTATCATGACAAGTTACAGTTCAAGTTTTAATTTTGTTTTGGTCTGATGATTTTGTGCAGAGTTATGGTCCTTAGACTTAGAAAATTCACTTAAATAATCAGTTTTCAACACTTTTGTTCGTCATGCCTGAAGATATTGACTTGATATTTGTTATATAGTTTACACCATGACAAGTTATAGATCAAGTTCGAATTTTGTTCCAATACAATGAATTTTTAACTGGTAGGGGACTATGTATTGCCATGCAATACTCACAGAATGCTTGTTAACAATATTTTTGCGTTTTTGCCTATTACTTAGTACCTTGAAAACTATAATTGATAGATAAAAATTTTTAAAGCAAAAATGATCAGCAAGACAAGATCTACAAGAAGATCAGCATAGATGAAATTGTCAGTTGTAAACATATAGGAGTTATTGCCCTTAAAAAAAAGTTAAATGATGATTTTTTTTTAACAATTTTTGTGTTTTGGACAAATCTATAGAAGATTGAGAGAAATTGTATACAGATAAATTGATCAGCGATATTGGGAAGATCAAAAACAAAAAATTTGGTCATGAATTATATCTTAGTCTACAATGTCGAAGAGTGTCCATTGTTGAAGATGCACATAGACCTAGGTGAGTGACACAGGCTCTTTAGGGACCCTAGTTTTATTGTCGAGCCTGCGACTTTTGTCGCAGAAAGCTCGTCATAAGGATAGTGATCCAGTGGCGGCGGCGACATTAATTAACTTCTTAAAAGCTTAATATTTCAGAATGTAGAAGACCTGGATGCTTCATACTTTGTATATAGATGCCTTATGATATGAAGTTTCTGTCTGTCATATGTCCATTGTCCTTGACCTCATTTTTATGGTTCAGTGACTACTTGAAAAAACATTTTTTGTAATGTTAATTTCTCTCTTATTATGAGTAATAGGATAACTATATTTGGTATGTGCGTACCTTACAAGTCCTCATGCCTGTCAGACATTTTTCACTTGACCTTGACCTCATTTCATGGATCAGTGAACAAGGTTAAGTTTTCGTGGTCAAGTCCATATCTCAGATACTATAAGCAATAGATCTACTATATTTGGTGTATGTAATAATTGTAAGGTGTACATGTCCAACTGGCAGGTGTCATCTGACCTTGACCTCATTTTCATGGTTCAGTGGTAATAGTTTTGTTTTTGTGTTTGGTCTGTTCTTCTAATACTGTATGCAATAGGTCAACTCTATTTAGTGTATGGAAATATTTTACGATGTACATTACAGTCTGGGTTTTATTTGACCTTGACCTTATTTTCATGGTTCTTTGCTTATGTTAAGTTTTTGTGTTTTAGTCTGTTTTTCTTAAACTTTAATCCATAGGTCAACTATATTTGGTGTATGGAATGATTGTAAGGTGTATATGTCTGTCTTGCAGGTATCATCTGACCTTCACCTCATTTTCATGGTTCATTGGTCAATGGTCAAGTTCCTGGTTAACTTTGTTTCTTAGATACTATAAGCAATAGGTCAACATTTCAGCGTGTGCACTCTTGTATATTTTTTCAATAGTCTTTTACAATCCCATTTGGTTTTGATGAATAAAAAAATTGATTGAATATTTTTAGTCCCCTACCGACGAAGTCGAAGGGGACTTAAGGTTTGCACTCCGTCCGTCTGTCTGTCCTTCTGTCAGTCCAGCAAATCAGTTTTCCACACTTTTTTTCTTCATGCTTGAAGATATTGATTTGATATTTGATATATTGTTTTATCATAACAAGTTACGGATCAAGTTAGAATTTTGTTCCAGTCTGATAATTTTGTGCAGAGTTATAGTCCTTGGACTTAAAAATTCTCTCAAATATTCAGTTTTCTGCACTTTTTTTCGTCATTCTTGAAGATATTGATTTAATAATTGGTACATTGTTTTATCATGACAAGTTACAGACGAAGTTTGAATTTCATTTCTGTTAGATGATTTTTTGCAGAGTTATGGTCCTTGGACTTAGAAAATTCACTTAAATTATGAGTTTTCTGCACTTTTTTTTGTCATGCTTGAAGATATTGACTTGATATTTGTTGTATTGTTTACACCATGACAAGTTATATATCAAGTTAGCATTTTGTTCCAGTACAATTAATTTTAACCGGTAGGGGACTATGTATTGCCATGCAATACTCTCAGAATGCTTGTTTTTCTCATATTGTAACAGTAAATATATATATATATATATATGTAATCCTCAAATCTATGTCCAGCCTCAAATCTGTGTCCTTTCCTCAGATCTTTGTCTTTTATATTCTTTATTCATAGGCTGGAGAAAAGGGCCAGAGCTTTGAGTGTCATGACATCACAGGACACTGTGTTGAGGCTGGACATAGATTTGAGTCTGACATATATTATATAGTTTCATATTATATGAATATAAACATTTTAGCAAAAAGGGGAAAAGAACACTCAAACACACATACACACATTCTTGCACTTGCATTAAAGTAACATACTTCAACTAAAAATAGAAAAAAATATCCCAAAGAAGGAAGTAAAATAATCTGAATAATGATGTCATGTAATTTAAACTATGATATCATTGAAGTTGGGGTTTTTTTTTGCCAACCAGAGCGGGTTTATCTTTAAACTGTATCCCTTATGTTACACTATACACATATTTTCCTTATGTATTCTGTTTTTTCTAAAGAGTTTACTCCTTACCAGATACAACAAATAGCTACTGGAAAATACAACAGGTTCTGCATGACAAGTAGCTTATGTATAATTCCTTAAATTTTAATCAAATTTAAGTTCATATTACACACATGTTTAATTATGGTTGTTGTCATGTGTTTTCATGTGCATCTTTATGTTTGAAAAATTGTATGCTATTTAATTTTGAAGGAGTTGTTTTGGTCCTATATTGTCATATTAATTTATTTGACATTTTTATTTTTCCTCTATTAATTTTTTTTTTATACTCTTTTTGCTATTCTTTTCCCAGTAAATACTGTTTAAAGAATCGAAAAAAAAAACTAGTGGTGAATTTGTTGTAATATTTTATGTGTTGTTAGTGGTTTCCTAAATAAAATGCTAAGTAATTAATAATACTGTACCTGTTTTGGTATAAACATGCATTTTAATTTCAAAATGACATTATAAAACATTTTTACAGATATTTTTTATGTGTTAAATTGATGTATTATTATTATATTTAATTTCAGTAATATACCAGAAGATCAAAGAATAATAGATCCAAAAAGAGGGCCCATTAAAAAGACAGCTGGAGTGAAAAATTTGCCAAGTTTAGAAATGACTTAAGTTAAATGTTGCATGTGCTAACTTTTAATTTCTGTACGCAATTACTGTTCACCAAGGACGTCACTGGTTCATGATATTGTCATTAGATATTTATATTCATTTATGTACATAATATTTTTCTCTCGCTAGCGTCAAAGGTCGAGAATGCTAGACAATAGGGATTACAATCCTGCGGCGGCATAAAGAATTTGTTTAAAGCTTTATATTTCAGAGGGTACCTTGTATGCAGATGCCTTATGTTACAAAGTTTCCGTCTGTCATATGTCCAATGTCCTTGTCTCCTTGACCTTATTTTAATGGTTCAGCGACTGCTTAAAAAATATGTATAGTGTTTTTGTTATGTGAATTTCTCATTTACTACAAGTAATATGATAACTATATTTGGTATATGAGTTCCCTTGCAAGGTCTACATGTCCGTCAGACAGGGTTTACCTGACCTTGACCTCATTTCATGGATAAGTGATCAAGGTAAAAGTTACATGATTAGGTCGATTTCTCAAATACTACCAGCAGTAGGTCAACTATATGTGCTGAATAGAATGATTGTAAGTTGTAAATGTCAGTCTGTTGGTTTCATCTGACCTTAACCTCATTTTCATGGTTCATTGGACAATGTTAAGTTTTTGTGTTTTGATTTGTTTTCAAATACTATCAGCAGTAGGTTAACTGTATTTGATGTATGGAATGATTGTTGAGTGTACATGTCTGTCTGGCAGGTATCATCTGTCCTTGGCATCATTTTTATGGTTCATTGATCAATGTTAAGTTTCAGTGCAGTCTGGTCCTCTTCTAAGATACCATAAGCAATATCAACATAAAATCAATCATGAACTGTAAAGCAGGCGAGACATTTCAGCATGTGCACTCTTGTTACAATTAAATGAGAGTATAAAGTAGGGCTGTTACGGTACAACCATTTTGTTCAATTAATGTGGATTCATTTATTTTTGTGGGTACCAATATTTGTAAATTTAGGAGCAATTGTATTTTTCCTGGATATACGTCTTCATGGTTTTGCCAAAGTTTGCTCATAAACCTATAGAAAATTTATACTTTGTTGGACATTTAAATTCAAGGTTTACCTTTATCCACTACATTAATAAAAATTGGTACTCCATGACTAATCCACGGAAACATAGTTACCTTTTTTAAGATTCATTTGGGTGCTCTGAAAGCTTCAAAGTTTCATTCAGTGCATATCCTAGTGAAACTCGTCACAGGATAATACCAGCAGCACTAATAATATCACACAATCCAGTGGGTAAAAATATTTATCCATTCAAGATAGTTTAATTTTCAAACTTTTAAAGTGCAAGGTGTACCAAACATTTTTCAAATTTTTAAATTTAAATACAGAGAATAGATGAACAGCACAGTAAATGGGGTTAAATGGTAGAATCTGTTTCTCTAATGATTAAGTGGAAAACACTGTTCGCCATGTTCCAAATGAATATGGTGGCAAACTTCATGAGACAATGTGTAGTTTATCAAACTGGTCAGAAATGCTGTAAATGCACACAGAATTGGAGAAAAGCATTTTCACAGTTGACATTTCTATAACCCATTTTGATTTGACCTAGACAAAAATGCATTGTCAGGATAAGTGAGTGTAATTTTTTTATACTTTTATGAAAATTGCTATGTTTTACCAATGTACCGATAATTTTAAGAAACAGATTAATATAAATGTAAGGACATTTATCACTGAAATTGATGATTTGACAACAGTTTTAGTTATAACTCCATTACCTCGCCTATAACAGTTTATTAAAGTGTTTTACATTGAGAGTTTAAATGTTTTTTAAACATATCTTTTGAAATGAAATTCATTCTCACATGTCATTACACAAATTATTTTCAAAACAATTATTATAGAACAACTTAGCATATATAACAATGTACCATGAGTCTGAAGTGCTTTTCTGAATTTACCTTCATCATGATTGCAAGGGATGTATAAAAATGTTTTCTTTAATGTTGTATATACAGAAGATACCTAGAGGGTTATCAAACACCACTAGAAAAACAAACAAAATAAAAAACAAAAACAGTCATAGAAAACTAAAGATTGGCAACATGAGAACCCCTAAAAATAGGGTGAAATTAGGCAATAAGGATTAGGGTTAGCTTCATAAGATACATGTACTTGTCCTGTATCTATGAAGCTTGCTTATTTTAATTTTTTTTTAATTAAAATTAGTATATTTTTATGGGGCACATTTTTCATCAAGAAATTATTTTTTTTAAATCTTTACTGAATATAAAAATATATTCAAACTGTTATACCTTGCTTCATAATGTATAATCTCACTTTGTACCAGTGCAAATAATAAGGTAGGAAAATCATTTAATCAGCAACATATTTGTATTAGATGTGTCAGTCAGTGTCAATGAAGGCATAATGTTATTTTCACACTCCTGGTAGTGGTGACACTGGTTTAAGATGTCTTTTGATTTATTAAAATATATCAATGGTTGTTTATATGTGTTATGTTTTTGAATTTCATACAAATTTTCTTCGAAAGATCTCAAAAAGATCTTGAAAAGACTAGATGCTGAAACTGATATCAGTCATTAGACATCATCGTCTGAATTAAAGTCATTGAATAATAAATATCCTTTTACGAAATATCTAATAAGGGTCATCATAGACCTTTCAGAACAGTCACATTTTCAACAACTTCAAAAGCCCATGATTAAATTATTGTCAGTTCTAAATGAAATGTCATAATAAACTCTTAATACCAGCCACTTTTTATGTCCCTGCTGCGGCGGAGGGGGCATTAAGTGTTACCCTTGTCCATCCATACGTACGTACATCACAGATTTAGTTTCCATTCTCTAACTTTAGTTTGCCTCAACTAAATGTTATGAAACTTGTACACAATGCTTATTACCACAAAACTCAGATGGATTTCGAACTTTGGTGGCGTCACTTTTACCATTCTTGAGTTATGCCCCTTTATAAATGGAAAAATTGCTGAATATATCGTTTCCGTTCTCTAACTTTAGTTTGCTTCAACCAAATGTTAAGAAACTTATACACAATGCTTATTACTATACAACAGAGATCAAGTTCGAATTTGGGTGGCGTCATTTTTACAGTTCTCTAGTTATATCCCTTTATAACATTATATGCCAGCGTAGGCATCATCTGTGTCCCATGGACACATTCTCCATTTCTTTAAATAGTAAAGGTCCTTTTCTAGATTTTGGATATTTTTGGATTGTTTAGTCCTTAATGTTAATTTTCTAACTCCTTCTCTATTTCCAGGTCTTTAATGATGTTTTAGATTTTTAAGTATAACTGGTAAATGATTAAGTCAGGGATTTCATTACCACAAATTATATAAAACCCTAACCACATTCTTTCAAAGATGCATAGATTTTGTTTAGAAGTTGGCTTACATTCCTGCAAAAGCCTTATTACAGAAAGAATATCACATTCTAATTTTTTTAAATGTAAACTCTGGTGCTCTGAAAGGGTGCACAGTTCCTTCTCCATTCACCCGTCGTTAAATATGTTAAAGGACAATTCTAGATCATGACACATACAAAATGAAATTAGTGAATATGTCTCTAGTCTAACCCTAAGATGTCACCTAATTCATAAGCCATCAGTATATGTAAATTCTCTGTCCTAAAGCCAGATTGGAATCAGTCAGTCAGCCATACATTGTAATTACACGATTTCATGTGTTTCAATCAATATAAGAATTTTATCACTTATTAATACAATAGGAATACAAAGATTATATACCAGGGTCGAATTAATTAAAACCTTCTAAAACTTTAACGTATACACACCTTCTAATCCATTATAATTGTCAATGTTAACCCTTAAATAAACTATACCAACTTCTGTATTCTCATTTATTTTGGTTGATTTGTTTATTTTCTAACCTGCAACAAAATTCACAGAATGTAAAGACATTGGGATACCAATAGCGGCACAGTAAACTATTTGTAGAAAAGCTTTATTTTAGAAGGTAGAAAGAAGACCTTGATGCTTTATACCTTGAATATTGATGCCTTATGTTATGAAGTTTATGTCTGTAATATGTCCATTGTTCTTGTCCTCATTTTCAAGGTTCAGTGACTGCTTAAAGAAACTACAGTTTTTGTCTCACCTAAGTATTGCAAATGTGAGACTTAGACATGCTGTTTCAAGCGGTATCATCAACTTGTTAAAAGTTTTTGATAAGGTTAGTTTAAAAGGAAACTGCACTAATGGGAAGTCAGTGATATTATGTATGCAGTTGTATCAGCATTAGCACATCTCATTTCCAAGGAGATCAGTTGGCCCCTCCCCTTAAGTCACTGGTTCAATGACTGAAATTTTTGCATTATAAGTTTACAGATTAGGTCAGATTAACTGCTTATGATAAGTCAATGATATTTGGTATGCAGTTGTATTAGCATTGGCTTATCTCATTTCCACACAAATCATTTGGCCATGCACCTTCAGTCATGGTTCATTGACTTTGAATGTTTTGCATATTTTACTTGTTATTAAAAGTATTGCTATTTTGATTTCAACATTTGCATTTTACTATCAAAATTACATACAGTTCATTTTGTTATGTTAATGTCTCACTTATTTTGAGTATTGAGTAATAAGATAATTATACTTGGATCCTAACAGGTCTACATGCCTTCAGATAGGGTTCACCTAACTATGCCATCATTTTTTTCTCTGTGGTTAAAGTTTTTGAAATTTTAATAATTTTCTTAAACTATCCTGGATTTCTATCAAACTTGGACAGAAGCTTGTTTATGATCATAAGATAGTATCCAGAAGTAAATTTTGTAAAAATAAAGTTCCATTTTTCCCGTATTTTACTTATAAATGGACTTTGTTTTTCTGCGGGAAATATTACATTCACTCTGTGGTTAAAGTTTTTAAAATTTTAATAACTTTCTTAAACTATCCTGGGTTTGTACCAAACTTGGACAGAAGCTTGTTTATGATCATAAGATAGTATCCAGAAGTAAATTTTGTAAAAAATAAATCCATTTCTTCCTTATTTTACTTTTAAATGGACTTAGATTTTCTGCCAGGAAACAACACATTCACTCTGTGGTTAAAGTTTTTAAAATTTTAATAACTTTCTTATACTATTTTGGATTTGTACCAAACTTGGACAGAAGCTTGTTTATGATCAAAAGCTAGTATCTAGAAGGAAATTTTGTAAAAAAATAAATCCATTTTTTCCGTATTTTACATTTAAATGGACTTTGATTTTCTGTCAGGAAACAACACATTCACTCTGTGGTTAAAGTTTTTAAAATTTTAATAACTTTCTTATACTATTTTGGATTTGTACCAAACTTGGACAGAAGCTTGTTTATGATCTAATGCTAGTATCTATAAGTAAATTTTGTTTTCTTCCAGTTAACATTACAATCAGTCTGCAGTGAAAGTTTTTAAACATTTATTAGATTCATAAACTATCCTTGATTTTTACCAAACCTTGACAGAAGCTTCTTACAATCAAAAGATAGTATCAAGTTGAATATTTTTATTGATTTACTTCCTCATTTTTGTTGAGCCTGCAATTAACAGAAAAAGTAGGCGAGACACTGGGTTCCACGGAACCCTTACGCATTTTTTGGTTGACCTATGTTAATGTTACATGGTTAGGTCTGTTTCTCAGATTCAATAAGCAATAGGTCAATTTTATTTATTTAAGGAGTGCTAGTAAGATGCATATATCAGAATTCGGTGTGGCAGGGTTCATCTGACCTTGACCTCATTTTCCAGGGTCACTGGTTAATGTTAAGGTAGCACAACAGTCTTATAATGATTATCACCTTATTTCATAATATTTATCCATCCAAGGAATTTAATATACAATTCCTTGATTCATCTGAACACTTTGTAAAAATCCCAGTCATTATCATGTCACAACAGGGAGTAAATTAATAATTACATAATGTAAATTAATGCACATGGTAAATACTCTATATATAACGGCATATATTATCAGTGACCACTGTGGATAGTAAACTAGGAATTGATAGTAAATAGTAAGAAATGTTATTTCTAGTATGTTTATGTAATTATATCAAAGAAAACACAAAAATAATTGAAAAAGAAAGAAAATAGAAAATAACGGATTTTAGAAAAAAAAGGGGGACTCGCGGCTTAAAAAAATTGTCCTGTCCCTAAGTACCTATGATGGAAAGGGTGTTGCTAAACGGCGGAAACGGAATACGGAACGGAAACGGAAAGAAATATTTATTTGGACGGAATTTGAGAAAAAAATAGCGAGAACTACGATACTCAATAAAGACCGAAATAACGAAATCACACAATAAGTATTCTAAAAATAGGATAGGAGATATCAAGGAAAATAGCAACAGTTTTGGAAATGCATAAAGCAAAATAAAACAAACAAAAACTAGAGCCTCTAAAGAGCATGCGTCGCTCATCTAGGTCTATAGCGGGAATGTAAAAAAGTCATCATTTAAAGGCCATCATTCCTATAGATAATCTATTTACTCTTAACGGCAATATTTGAATTGTTTGTAGATCTTGTCTTGTTAATCATTTTTGTTATTTAAAGTTTCTATATATCTTTTATTGTTTTCAAGATAATAGGCAAAAACACAAAAAATTAAATATTTCAAGATAGTGGCAAAAATGAAAATAAAATGGTTAAATTCGTCATTTAAAGGCGATAACTCCTATAAGATGTCGTCTGACAGTTTTGAAGTGATTGGACTTTAGGTAGAGCTCAACATTCTGAACGTTTCTGCCCCGTCAGATTTTCTGTTTATAGCGGTTTTCAAAATAATGGACAACACTTGCATTTTACCCCCATGTTCTATTTTTATCCATGTCGGCCATCTTGGTTGGCAGACAGGGTTTTCGGACACATTTTTAAACTAGATACCCCAATGATAAATGTGGCCAAGTTTAATCAAAACTGTCAGACGACTTCTTGTAGTTATGTTTGGTTAAACTTGGCCAAGTAGTTTCAAAGGAGAAGATTTTTGTAAAAGTTAACGACGACGAACGCCAAGTGACGAGAAAAGCTCACTTGGCCCGTTGGGCCCGGTGAGCTAAAAAAAAAGAACTCTCAAAGTATACAACCACTCAAGACTAAGGCAGGTCGAACATCAGAAAACGACCCTGACAGAGCAGAAGCATTGAATGAACAATTCCCTCTAATTATATTTACTAAGAAGTCATCAACTGAAGATGTACCACTAAAGAAACCAGTATTTTATCCAAAATTGAAAGACATAGAAATAACTAAAGTAGGGTGAGAAAAAAATTAGTACATGGACTCAATACATCAAAAGCATGTGGGCCAGACGAAATAAGCCCTAGAATACTTTAAAATATCAAATGAATAAGAACCTATCACTAGTCACTCTTTTCAACAATCCATCAATACCAGCTCAATACCTGATGAATGGACAACAGCAGACATTTGTCCACTTTTCAAGAAGGCTGACCATTCGTTACCGG